GGGGGAGGTTGTAGGTATCTTAAGAGGAGTTGAAAGCATCCATGAGGGGCTTTTGGGGTTTGAAGTCATCTAAAGGGGTGGTGGGGGGGTTGGGAGTGTGTGGAGGGGGTTAAAAGCATCCCAGAGGAGATTGTGAGTGGTGGGGCAGGGTTGACAATGTCTAGGGATGGTTGTGGGTGTGTGGAGGGGGTTGTAGGTATCTAAGAGGGGTTGAAAGTATCCAGGAGGAGGGTTTAGCATTTGAAATCATCTAAAGGGGCTTTGAAGGCACTTGGGGAAGGGTTGGATACACTTGATGGGGTTTAAAACCACTTAGGAGGAGATTGTTTGAGGGTGTCTAGGGGAGGGTTGTAGGTATCTGGGACATGGTAGAGGCATCTAGGAGGGTGTTTGAAGGTGCCTGGAGAAGGTTTGTGGGTGTTGGGAGGGATTTGTGGGCATCTGGAGGTGTTCTGGGCATCTTTGGGGGTTTCTGTGGGTATCAGGGAAGGGTTTGAAAACATCTGGGGGGAGTTGAGTGTGTCTGGGAAGGAAGGGGGTGTGGGCTCTGAGAAGGGGTTTGGAAGCGTCTGGGGAGGGGGGTGTCTGTGCATCTGGAGGGGGTTTGGAGGCATCTGGAGGGGTCTGTGGGGGCTCCCCTGCCCCCCTGAGGGCACGTGGGGTGCCCAGGAACGTGGACCTGCGGGAGTACCTGTCGGAGGAGGTGCAGGCGGCGCACGCTCACACCACCTACGACCTCATCGCCAACATCGTGCACGACGGGAAGCCCTCGGAGGGCTCCTACCGCATCCACGTCCTGCACCACGTGAGTGTCCCCCTCCCGGGGGGCTCGGGGGGGCCATGGCGACCCCCTGGCCCACCCTGTCCCCTCCTGGTCCTGGCAGGGCACAGGGAAGTGGTACGAGCTGCAGGACCTGCAGGTGACCGACATCCTGCCACAGATGATCACCCTGTCCGAGGCCTACATCCAGGTGAGGGGGCAGGGGGCAGCTGGCACCTCCAGGATGTCCCTGGCACCCCCAGGATGTGCTCTGACCACCCCTCCCCCTCTCCCACAGATCTGGAAACGGCGCGAGGAAGATGAGACAAACCAACAAGGGGCCTGAGACCCCCTGGGGACACCCAGAGACCCCCTTGGGATCACTCCCAGTCCCTTGTGGAGATGCAGAGACGCCTTTGGGGACACCCCAGGCTCCCTTGGGGACATCCAGAACCCCCCTGGAAGCAACAACAGCCGTCTCTGGGACACCCCAAGATCCCCTTGGGGACACCCAGAGAGCCCCGGGGACACCCTGAGCCCCTTGGGGACACCCAGAGAGCCCTGGGGACACCTAGGTCTCCTTGGGATCACCCATAACCCCTCCAGGGACACCCCCAAACCCCTTGGTGTGTCTCTCCCCACCCCAAATAAATGCCACCCACTTATTTTTGTAGCTCATTTTCACCTTTTCTCTTCTTTGTGTTTGGGGGGGTCATGGTTTTCACTGCTTCCCCCCCGACCCCTCAGCACCCCGTGACCCCCAGAAACACCAAAAAAACTGGGAACACAGAGGCAGAGCTGCATCCAAGCTTTATTGGGAAGTGCTGGGGGGGCCCCCAGAGCCCCCCTACAGCCAGACGTGCTCCTGGCAGTGCTGCAGGGCCTGGGGGGCACAGAGGGGTCAGTGGGGGGTGCAGGGGGTGCCACCCCTCCATGTCCCCCCTGTCCCCACTCACCTGGCAGCGCCGGGCGGGCTCGGGGCCGGAGCACCAGTACATGGGGCCCAGGGCACAGGGGCCCAGGGGGGGTGACAGCACGGGGGGAGCGACACCCTTGAGGTCCTGCGGGGGGGACACGGGTGTCAGGGGTCCCCCCAAGGGTGGGGACACCCCAGGGAGCCTCCTGGAACCCCCTCCCCGGGGCTGTGACGTCCTTGGGGTGTCCCTTGGGGTTGTGACACTCGGTGCCCTCCCCCACTTGGGTCACTCTTGAGTGACCCCTTTGAGGCCTGTGACACCCTTGGGGACCCTGACACTGTCCTCTCAGTGGGGGTGGCACCTTCTGGGGACCTCATGGTGTGCCCAGGGGTGGTGGGACTCCCTCGAGACTGTGATACCCCGGGACGTGTCCCCTCGGGGCTGTGCCACCATTTGTGTCCCTGCCATGGCCCCTGGGGACTGTGACGCCCTTGGGATGTGTCCCAAGGACTGTGGCACCCCTGGACGTGTTCCCTCAGGGCTGTGCCACCCTGGGGTGCCCCGTCA